CCCCCCCCCCCCCCCTACCTCTCTCTTCAGCGCAACAGGGCCCGTGCATCGTTGAGTTTCGCTATGTACCAGGCACCAGAGAGTTCAAGCAGAGCTACATGTACACCTGAAGCGGATTTCAGCTCGGGCAGAAAACGATCGGTGTTCGGTACGATGCCTCACGCACACAACCACCATAAATAAGGAATGTTCTCTGGACATGCACGCGTCTATGTATCTCTGCATAGACACGTCATTACCCTTGGAGCAGCGCCTACTGCTGCTTGTGCGCGCGGCACAGACAACAAGATAACAGGCGTGTGTAGCTTTGCTACTGTAGCTCCTTTGTCTCCGTCCACAATGCCAGACTCTCTCTGTTCCACCACCAGCGGCGCACACACAAAAAGTGCTGTGGAAATTAGTATTTAGTATTATTTTGCAGCGGCCACACATTCGATTCGCGGATTTATCCTTCCGAGGTTGAAAGTTGCCTTGAGAACACAAGCAAGATGACTAAATAGGTAGTAATTCCACGTCCCATCGCACCGAATACTTTTCGTTTGGTATCCCGGACAAGGCGCGCGCGACCACAAACAATGCTTATCGGAAGCCTGCTGATACTGCCTTGATATATGTTACAACACCAGCATGCGAAAGACAACGAAGGCCTTTCATGCTTCGATTCATGAGATTTTGGAGGATTTGTTGTTGCGGAAAATTTCCGGAGTGGCGATCTACCGGGTGTGACCTCGTGAATACTCCGCCAGATGTACTGCTGCACAGCAGTACAATGGAGGTGGCGAGACCCCCCTAAACACACTCTCGGTGCGATGCGGGAGCCCTTCTCTCTCATGAAGGTAACTGCTGTGGAGTCGATGCCGTCTGAAGGGCTAGTCTACATGTAGCAAAGAGAACCGGGAAGGAAGCAAATAGCTATTCGGCAGCAGGAGACTCTGACACCGCTTTGTGCGTGCCTCGAAATAACCAGCAAGAAATGAAGCTCCGCCAGTGGGGCGAGAAAAGGATCTGTTTCGTTGGCAGTCCTTCCGGTGAGGCAGTAGCGAGGGATTCACAATGCCGGCCGGAAGGCAGACGCCTGCATAGGTAGCAGCCAGGCTGTAGACCCCCCCGAAGTAACCTTGCCACATATGTAGCTCAGAGCAGGGCTTCCGACAAGACCATAATCTTTGACGCCTTCCACTCTTCGAACAAGTACAAAAGTCCTCCTCTCTTTGTCCGAGCTTCCTTCTTGCTGGATACAACCATTCTAACCGGACAACCGCGGCGCGCTGTCTGACGTCACTCGCTTCATGCATGTTTCTCTCCACCTGACTTCCGACAACTACCCAACACGTTCCTTTTACACCTTCCCAGCATAACACACAGAATGATGCACAAGACAGCCACCAGATTTTCTTGTTGAGTCTGTTACCCACAGGGGAGATATCGCTGTACACTGCTCGGAAAATCGTGGAAATGCAGATAGCCTCCGCTGACGCTGTGGATTCGTTGGGTCACACTATCAATAAGATAAATAAAAATAAAATAAAACAATGAAGTGCTTACACGACACGCAAGCGTAGCGTTTCTTGTCCACCGATCAAAGAAAACAACGTCGAACATTCGGCAAGATATATTGCTTCGCTGGTCGATCGTGCGCTAGTGTTAACTGTCGAGGGGTACCTCCTCCATCTCCTCCTCCCTGTTCTTTTCATACTCCTACCAGGTGGTGGAGCTAGAAGCCGCAGAGGATGATCTGGACAACATTCAGCAGGAGATCAAGATGCTGCAGGCCTTCAACTGCCCGCAGCTCACGCGGTACCACGGCAGCTTCATCGTCGGAAGGTGATTGGTCAGCCAATAAGGCACGGACACTCGTTTACTCCTTCCTCCCCGCGCTACACATCGTGTTGGATGCGATGACGAAATGGTGACATACTTTTTGCCGAGACATTTTTGCGCGTGCGCGCGCACACACAAACGGCAACCATACACGCAGTACCTCGCCGAAAGCACACCACTTGCGCCGCTTATTGTCGGGGCTGCTACCGCACGGTGGTCCGCAGCACAGCAAGGCACCTGCTCCGCTGGACCCCCCGATGGTGGCCTGTCTCATGAGAGGACACTCCTTTTTGGCCTGGTGTGCAGCCTGATCTGAGGGCAGCAAGCTGAGCGTGTATCCTACTTAACTTTTTCTCGAGAGACGCACAAGACGCCAAGTCACGGGGGGGCAGCAAGAGCAAGCTGGACCGTCGCGCTTTGTTTGTAGCCAACTTCAAGAGGGGTGTGTGAAAGGTGTCGGTGGGTGCTACTGTAGGTGGGAACTCGAGCGTACAAGCGCCAGGACTATCACAGTGGGGCATCACCGGCTGCTTCTGCACCCATGAATGGCCCCCCAAGAACCCCAGCCTCCCAGCTTTGGCGGCAGAATCAGCGGCGGTTTTCAAACGCCAACCGTAACACCACATCGCCGGGCCTTGTCTCAAGACTCGAGACTCCTTAAGGGCAACGACGGGGTAGAGCCCACGCCGTCTCATACGGACGGTGGCGAGCCGCATGGAGCGTCAAGTCTTTCTGGACCTGAGCCATGAAGGTTTTTACGACACAGCAGCCGTTCAATGCTTCGCGGCTCAAGTCGAAGATCTGACGCTCCACGCGGTCCGCCTTGTGGGGCTTGGGACTTTGCTCCGTAAGGTGCCCTTGAGCGTTTTGTCATGACCCGAGGTTGCGTTTGGCGTTTGGCAACCGCCGCCGAAGCTGGGGGGCTGGGCTCCTTGGTGCCACCCGCTTGGCGGTCTTTCGCGGGTCCAGAAGCAGTCGGGGATGCCACACTTTCTCCGTCTCGGTGATCGAGCTAGAGCGCCTGGCACACACCGACGCTGTTCTCACGCTGTATTTGACGATCGCTACAGCAGCACAATGTGACCGTTCAGCTTGCTCTTGCTACCAACCCGCGACTCGATGGTCGAACACTGCCTTGTGCGGCCCCCGAGAAAAGAGTGGGACGCACGCTCAGCTCCCGTCTCCAAACCAGGCGAAGGAAGAGTCTTCTCTTTGAGGCGGAAGGACACCGTCAGGGGTTTGGGTCGAGCGGAGGCGCCTTGCTGCCTTGCTGGGAACCACCCGGGCGGCGACGAGCGCTGGCATGATTGGCGGCGTGTGGTGTGCGGAGCCGTACCAGTACATGTTGTGGCCGTCGTCGTGTTCACGCATGTCGCGGCGAAACACTTGACACGTTTCTTCTTCTTCAACCCGGTGGTTTCCCTGCAACTGCTGTGACGACAATAGGTTCTCAGAAACTTAACGCATTTTTGCTTTTTGGTGGTATTCTGAGCAACAGCCAGCTAACCGACCCTCCAAGTAGTTTCAGAAACGTGTACGAAAAACGTTGGACGGCGTTCTCAGCGAACACGTACAGCTGTAACACCCTTGTGCGTCACACAGAAACCGCTCCTTCGTTGTCGTTCGAATGGCACGGCGAACTATGTACTGTAGTGGCAACATCCCGCCTTCCGCAGCCAGCCCCGCTTGCGACGTTTTTTTTCTCTACCTCTCTTCCTGCGCGCATGGCATGCGTGCGTGCGCGCTTGCTTGTGTTACGCTGCCGAACATCAACCAAATCATCAGCGCGCTGTGGATTTCGATGGAGTACTTGGAGGGCGGCTCGCTGCAAGACCTCATCAAGTCGAGCACGAACAATCTCGACGAGCACACGACCCAGTGGATATTGAGAGAAATTTTGAAGGTGCGGGGGCTCCGTGGAATCCGTACGGAGAGGGTGTATGAATGGAGTGTATTACTAGTCAAGCTCCCGCCGACCCTGGGTTGGGCATAAACCTAAAGTGTCTAAAACACCGAAACCGCCCAATAGTCAGAAGAAGGCACAGGAATGACTGCATCGAAATATTTCTGTGCAAGGGTGTGATCGAGAGGTAGTCAATATGACCTGCGCAGCCGTTCGAAGCGCGTAGACTAGACCCCCGCATCTCTACTTCAGCCGGCACAGAGAACACCGATTTCCATGGAAGCGGGGGCGGGGATGGATATTCATCGGTAGCACGTGTACTCGCTGGTGTCAGGGCGGAAGGAGGGGCGTACTCCCACGTTTTTCATGCGATACTTGGATCATTGACTACGTGCCCTCGAGAGGAGGAGGCATCGTTCCCAGAGGACCGATCACCGATGGCCAGTCGTTCCTTCGTGCTTTGCCCGAAAGGTTGACCCCAAAATGTGTTTTCCTAGCCTTAACATCTATCGTGTCGATATCGCTACCCGCCCTTGAAACCCACTTCCGACACCCCAGTGTATGGCTATCGGGACGGGGGGAGGGGGCGACTCTTGCTGGGTGTCCCCGGTGAATGCGCTGGCGGATACTCAACTTGTTTGATGCCTTTTACTCGCGGCTCCTTTTGTCGTTGTTCAGGCGTTGGTCTACCTGCACTCGGAACGGAAGATTCACCGCGACGTGAAAGCCGGAAACATTCTGGTGGCATCAGACGGGAGCGTCCGGTGAGCTAACCCCCCACAGCAGCACTATGATTATTGCTCATAATGCGACAGGTATGAGCAAGGTGTGCACTCGTACAACCGCCCGTGACGCCTAGTACCCCCCCCCCCCCCCCCCCCCCCCCCCNCCCCCCCCCCCCCCCCCCACTGTTGAGCGATTCCGCTGAGTTGTCACACGGAGCTGTACTTTCGAGAGGCGACTCAGCAGCTGGTATTCGTTGTTGGAGTTTGGCGTTTCCATTGGGTTTAGGTCCCCCAGGGGTATGGAGGCGTGTGGCACTGATGCCATTCCTCCACTCGCACGAGCGGCTTAGAACAGGGCAGTGATCGTTCCCTCCGCATGCTGGTTTCGCTGCTTCCTGGCATGTGTGAGGACGGATGTTGTTGTCGGCGACCGATTGAAAATCGGAGACAGACGCGCATGATTTTTGTGGTGAACTACCTTCTTGTAGGACCCAAAAGTGCAGGTTTTGCTGATGAACGATCAATGAGACGTGGCCTGCCGCGAAAGAAGAGCTCTCGTTTCCTGGTGGGAAAGATAGAAGCTTGTTAAAGGAACACTATAATAAGGTCTGTTTCAAAAGGGACTGGCCAAATGGCCAACGGTCAGTCGTAAAACAGATAGCCGAAAGAAAAACTGAATGCACCCCCCCCCGTCCCCTCCACATGCTCCCACGTAACCCCCACGGCAACATCTGGTTTCCCTTCCGGGGCGACGGCAAACAACGAAAAAATGACGGCGGGAAACGACGAACACCATATAAAATGACAGCCTGGCTGATTTCGGCGAGTCGGTGCAGCTGACCCACTCCATCGCCAAGCGCCAGACATTCGCGGGGTCACCGTACTGGATGGCGCCAGAGGTCATCATGGCGCAAGACACGTGAGTCTATTTTTTTCGATACCGCGGTTTGTGTCGGTTTCGGCTGTTTTTGTCGCGCGCCTCTTGCTTGCTTGTCACCGCCTTTTGTCGACAACCCCCTCACTCATTTTTGTTATTTTGGGGGGAGAGGGCACGAAGCATGATTTGCGTCGATTTTTACTGGTAATGGGGGGGGGGGGGG